TTCCCCGTCCTTTGGGGGCATTTGAAGATGGCACGTCCTTTTGCGAGCACCCTGTGTGGCCCTGAAGGCACAGGCATTTGTGTGGACAGATGCCTGCAAGGAAACCAGATCATTCTAACAATGTGCCAGTAAAGAGAGCAGTTCAGTCCTATCTCCCTGATCTCCTCCTACCCAGCATGTCGCTGTGGCTAGGGGCATGGTTCCTGTACTTTTCTTTACATTAAGATGAAGATGGCACAGACGGTGCCCAAGGCAATGAGCATCTCCAATCCCAGCCCTAGGAGTTCAACAAGGAAAAGATAACTGAGGGACAGAGAGCAGTGCTGAGGGGCACGCACAAATACCCTGTCAAGTCCTCCTGACAGGTCAGCTGGTTTGGCCCATGACCTGAAGGATGATCGTGGCCAAGAGCAGGGGATGATTGGAAGTGTGTCAGGGACAGCAGAGGATCTTGGAGACCTACATAAGTCTTACTCTCAGACTCTCCCCATTTGCCGATGCCCACAATGCTTTCCCTGCCACTCGAGAGAAAAGTCAGCCCAGTAAATGCAGTACGACATTGTCCTTCCATAGTCTGATGGTACGTCATAACATAGCTGATGTCAAGCAACACCCAAACTCCTTCTAGCTGCAAGCCAAGTGCAAGTCAAATAAGTTCTCACTGCCTTCCTCCACCTGCTCACCTTCTGGGTTTCACTGATCTTCCTCCTCAGCTCCTGTTTCTTGTAGTGAAAGTCACTCTTGGTGATTTGTTTCTTGTCTACTTTGCTCTGACCCTCGCCCCGCATGGTGATGGTCTCTCTGCGGGACACGGCTGCCTCCATATCTCGAATCATCTTCTCCTGCTGCTTTGTCAGCTGGCTATAGCGGACCTGCCAGGGAGCAGGAGAGGAAGTCTGCAGATACCCAGTGGTCACAAGTGGCACCCTATTACAAAATCTTTTATGCAGGAGATTCCCATTATAGACATTGATGGGAGTCAAACCCTCATGCTAGATCCTGAGCCAGCCTTGTACAGCAGAATTCAGGGGGCTGTCAAACCAGTAGCTAACCCCTTGCTGGCCTGTCCAGAATTATATTCTACAGGTTTTCAATGCCATAAACTCATTTAAATGTCATAATGTAAAGGGAGAGCAGAAGTATCCTGAAAGAGGAAGGAAATGATTGCTTCTCTGAATCAGCAGACTAAAGCAGAGAGAGAGCTCAGCCCACAATAGACAAGTTTTCTTCCTAGACAAGGTCTTATTTTTCCTACACTCCATTTTCCAAGTAACACCTGTGTAGTGGCAGCCTAAGCTCATCTCAGCTGCTGGACAGTAAGACCTCTGTCCCTGACACTGCTGGGAGGCATGAGGATAATACCCGTCCAGGTCATTTCCCATCTGCTGGCTGACCCCGGGAAGCTGGATAACCTGTGTGCAATTCTCCCCATGCCCCAACAGCCAAACTTACCTGCATCCTATGTATTTCTGCTCTCATGGCTCGGATCTCGCCTTGCCCTGTCTCCGAGTCCACCGTAGCACGCATCTCCTTTGCCAGCTGGATCTTCTTCTCCCACAGCATGATCTGGTGCCTTCAGGGACAGAAGGGAATGGGAAGTCTTTTTGTGAAAAAGCAAGCAGTGCCTTTCCTTGACACACTGTGCTAGTGCACTGCAGAAGCTCACAACAGATCTAAAATATACCAGTTCTGCAGGAACCTAAGAGTCTATGTAGGGGATGTGCCACCAGCCACTGGTGCCTAGCAGAAGAATCAGCCAGCATACTCTGCAGTTCCCAAAAAGGCCTTGCAATGACAGAAAGGGGCAGAGTGCAGAACACAGAGGGTTAAAGTCACGGTTTCTAACCCCGCTGGTGCAATTTGGGCAGTTTTAGGGACTTAACTCTCAGCCCTGCAGCTGTCCTTCCACCAGCGGCTGCCTGGGCTTACCTCCCACAGCTCTAAGCTGAGTTTCCCCTTTCCCCAGCCCCTCAAGCTGGCAACCTCTGCTGAACAGAGACAAGTCCCATGTGAGTATTGGGAGACCAAATTCCCTCCAGAACAACTCACAGAATCAGGTTCATGCTAGGTTAGAGCTGTGGCTGCGGGTGCAGCAGCAAAGAGAACACTGAGCTGAGGCTATTGTCCTTGTACCTGGTCCACAAAAGAAAATGATCCGAGATTCCACCGGCTTTGAAAAGTCACTGCACTCCCCACACCTTTCCGATGGCACAAAGAGCCACGTGAGGAGCATTTACAGCTGATGCTGCCTTAGTGAAGGGTAACCCAGATGCATACAGGAGTGCAGAGACTGTGGCATAAAACAGGGGCTCTCTGGGGACTCACTCTGCTTCCACCAGGCTGTTCAGCAGTCTCTCCTTCTCCTCACTCAACCGGTCCAGCTTCTCCTGCATCTCGATCGATTCCTTCTCAGCAGCCTAGAATTAGGAAGCAGAAGCCAACATGACATGACTTCATCAGACTGAGCACCCCTGGCAGGCTCATTCCTTGCCTTTAATCTGTATGCCCTCCCTAACCCCCCTGAGCCACATATTATTTAGTTATCTATATCTCCCCTGCCTTCTGGCTTCAGACTAATGCAACAAACTACTTCTTTCTGGTAAAGGAAGTCATTCTCCCTGCACAAGAAAAAAATTTGGGGCAGCTTTCTAAGCACAGCTGCCCACTTCCATCCACATGCAAGACTCTGTACCAGAGGCAGTTGTTAGCAATCAAGGGGCCTCATCTTCTCTGACACTGAGTCTCCGGTACCACGGGACTTGCGAGAGTCCAGCCGGCTGTTGCGTGTGAGGCTGTGCCTTGGAGCAGAGGAGCAAAACCTCCCTACCTTGAGGGAGCGGACAAATTCGTTCTCCGTGATGGTGTTGCCATGCTGCAGCTCCTGTGAGCTGTTGCTGTTCTTACTGATCAGCATGTTGAGCTTTATCATGTCGTTGGACATGTTCCTCATATGTCGCTCAATGTCCTTCTGCTCATTCTTCTCCTGCTGGATTTCATCTGCCGGAGAAGGGGGAGGAACAGACAGGACTTCAATAAATGGGAGGCAGAGAACGTTCTCTGGGGCCCTGAGAAGACAGAGCAGGGGTCTGCAGGGTGGTATTTGAGCTGACTAAGCTGGGATCAGAGCTGCCTGCCCAAAAGCCTCCAGGGACCTTGCCAAGCCTAAAGCAAACCAGCACTTTGAAGGTGGTTATTTTGAAAGTAGAGTGGAACTGGCCAGTAATGGCTGCTATAGTCTCAGGGCTGGGCATTTACCAGCTATTTGAGAAAACATCACAACCTTTCTTAGACATACCACAGCAAGATGGTCACCAGGGGTAGGATCTCATGCCCCTCACTCCTGTTTTAGTGAAGGCTGCAAGATTGGCTCGTTAGGGTTAGGGAAAGCAGACTACTCATGTGGCTCCAGAGTACACACACGTTATTGCTCACGTGAACGCACAACGCCTGCACTTGCAGACACTGAACACTTCCTCTGGGGAGGGGCTGCATGTTACAAGCTATTGACTGTTCTCTGGCTGCACACACCACTCATGTCATGAATGCTGCCAGGAGGATCAAGGGAATGCTTACTCTCAATGCGCACTTTCTTCTGCTGCCTGATGGTGATCTCTTTCTTTAACATATCCAGGGAAACCAGCTGTTCCTCCTGCTCCTGGGTCAGCTTGACCAGCTCCTTCTGCAGCTGGAGCCAGTATTTCTGCAGTGTCATCACCTCCGAGTTGTATTCATCTATCTGCTTGGTGAGACTGTTGATTTCAATCTCCAAAGGTCCCAGTTCTTGCCCCTGTAAAGCAAGGTGTACAACTGAGTTACAAAGCAGAGTGGAGTGGGCAGATGCTGAGCATTTCAGCAGTGGATGCACCATCCCCTTTCATATCACTGCTTTCCAGGATGCAGCCCCCATTAGGTAGGTCTGGCCTCCGTTTCTTTTCCTAGATGTGTAACTTTTCACATGTCTCTATTATTAAGACACATTTTCCTTGAACAGGAGAAGCCTCTCAAGGGATGCACTGCTAGGTAGGACTGTCCTGTCCTTGACATTAGCTTTCTCCCCCACAAGCTCTGTGAAATGTGCAGACTGTATCAGCAAATATTCTGTTTACTTCCAGATCCGCAGTGAAAGCTGGGAATTGCATTGGGCTGGGCACCAATCAGTGCCGAGACTGCATGGGAAACACCACACTTGAGGGCAATTCCCCACTGACAGTGGTTTTGAAGTCTGGCAGCTCACCAGCATTAACCGTGCCAATGTTTGCCTTATGGATAATGTGAAGGGCTGTTTTTTAATGAGAATATGCCATAATTTAAGTCAAATGTCCTCCAGAAACCTATGTATATTGATCGCACTTGTGAAGTCACTTTTGTCAGCCTCATTGGTAAACCCCTGGGAAATGAAACCAAGTTTGGGAGCTGGGCACAAGGTGTGGCAGAAAGCCACCTTGGTTTCTCCCCAAAAATCTCTGCCCTGTGACACTGTGATTTAAATCTCTGTGCTGTGACCATTCAGTTAGGGTGGGCCCAGCACACAGGGGACCACACCCTCAGCCTGTCTCTTTAGGGAACTGGAGCTGGCTGCATTCCTGAGGGAGGGGG